TCAGAACTTGAAAATGAATCCCCAACAGTCCACCATGACATTTATTTATGGCAGTCCTTTTTAGAGCCAATTCTAAATATAAAAAACTTTTACACACAAAATGAAACCATTTTTAATAAACTGTCTGGCTTTCTTTTAATACCCTTCTCCCCAAATTAAGTGTACTCAGACTATTTAACGTTTATTTGTTTGCACTTTTTGATTATTATTTTTTATTATTTTATACTACTAATAAAAAAATTTACACTTGCTCTTTTTCAGTGCATAGAAAAGAAACTAAAAGAACTCTCATAGAAGGTAGTGAAGGAAAACAAGAAGAAATGACTGAATATTAATTGCAAAAAAACAGAATGCATGGTTGTCAGCAAAAGGAACAATCCAATATTATAAATACATGTATAGTAGCAGAAAAGAACAAATGAAACAAGTACCACCAATGAGATGAAAGTAAAAAAAATAGGAATTGTTAATATAAAATTATTTGTATTGTCAATACAGAAAATGTGAGCAGAATGTCTGTAATGTGGGCAAGGGAGGTGGTTTTGAGAGAAAGGTAGCGTTGGTAAAGCATGGAGTTGATGCATTTGTCAGGTTGGTTGACCAAGGTCACAGGCGGTGATGCTGAGCTTGCTGTGTGTTGACAACTAGCCCATTCACTACAATTCTGACTTTGCCAATAGAGAGGATGTGAGTGAATATCTCTTTGTGAGCAAGGTGTGGTGATTTGGATGAGAGTGGGTCTCCAGTAAATATGTGTTGGGCCAGTTAACTGAGGTCATGGTAGTGATGTCAAGAGCCTGCCAAGTACCTACACCTGGTCTGTTCACTGCAATTCTACCCTCTCATTTAAGTGTGGCTTTCTTAAAAACAAATGTCTTGGTTCTTGAGCTCATCTTTTGTTCATGTATTTTTCTTTGGTGGCAACATTTGTGATTGGCTTATTTTACATTGTTATTTTATATTTTTTAAAGGGATTTGTTTAGAGGGCCAAATATGATCCTTGGAGCCTCTGCGCAGAGGACAATTTTTTATTTTGGGTTTTGTTTTCTTAGTGTTCACATATGTCCTACATGTAGAATGAATTAGAAAAAGATCTAGTTTGAAGTGGAATATAAAATCTATATGCAAATTACAAATTAAAGATACCAAAATCAAACAGGTATAACAATTTAAGTATCTGGGAAGTGTTTTAACAGAGGATGGAATGTACAAAACTGACATCCAAAGACACATTGGGATAGCAAAAGATGCCTTCCTAAAAAATAAGCAAAGTTATTAAGTAACAGGAAAATTTCATTAGAAACAAAGAAAAAAGTACCGAAGTGTTATAAAATATCAGTTCTCCTATATGGCAGTGAATGGTGGACAATCTCCTTATAGATAAAGAAGAGACTGGAAGTAACAGAAATGTGGTTCTACAGAAAGATGCCGAGAATACCATGAACCAAACATGTTATTGTGAACATGTGAGCAACAACAAATTTTAGAGAAAATGGAAACTAAGTTATATACTTAACATCAGGAAAAACAGTTGAAATCTTTAGGACATATAATGAGGAAGGAGGGATTGGAAAATTTGATACTCACAGGACATAGTGAAGGCAAGAAGGACAGAGAAAAACAACATAACCTAACCAGCAAGTTTAAGTAAATAGATGATGGAACAAGGTTTAGGAGAGATAACAAAATATAAACTGAGCTCATCTCTTGTTCCCTGTTTAGGATTGGGTTTCTGGTTCCTTCTAATGTAGGTACCGCCACTTGGTTGCATAAAAAAACAGCATAGCATGATGAAAAAAAAGGCCCCAAAATAAAAACAAAGTTTTGTCATTAAAATGTTTATATTATTATTAAGAGGAAAGACCAAAATATTTTTTTATTATTCTTTTGAAATTTTTTACTCCTTTGTAGCCCGTTCAAAATTTTGGTTAAAAATCTTTTCTTTTTTTTTTTTATGTCAGCAGCAGACCAAAGATAAAGGTCAGTTTCTTTTTTGCTTTTTCCTGTGATCTGGAAATTCTTTCAAAAATCAAATAATTGCAGGATTTGAATGCAACTTTCAGGACATATTCAGAAATGAATGAAATTTTTTGAAATTTTTTTTTTTTTAAAAACTTGGTAGAAATATTTTTTTTTACATATGTGACTACACACTTACTTAATTTCATAAAATTTCAAGAAATTAAATATTTAAGGGCGTTTTTTTTTTTATTAGTTATAAGCAAGATTCCTTGGAGACATCAATTTCTTTTTTGTAAATCATTTAACCCATTTATCAAAAATCTGCTCTGATTTGTAAAATAATAAATGCAATAAATCTATTACATTATTTAATTAGAAAAGCTTTTAATTGCTTTGATAAATAAGATTTATTAAGGACATTATTATCTTAAAAAGAAAATTTTTTTTGATGAATAATTAATTTTTACAAGAATTGTATTCATTTTTAAAAAATTTTAATTAAATATTTATAGTATTAAAAAAATAATATTAAAAATATAAAATATAATAAAAAATTTAATAATAAAATAACCATCATGATAACAATTAATAATAAATAAAATACTGTAACATTTTTACCTCTATCATGGTACTTTATATCAGTTATTTCAAAATTAATCTAAGAAAATTTTATATTATTTTAAATTTTATTATTTTTTTGTAAAGTATCTTCAAAGGTAAATAAAAATCAATAAAATCATAGATAATTGCTGAAAATATTATGTTAATTTGTAAAAATTACTAGGTAGTTAAAAATAAAAAAAATTGCGTTCACTTAGATTTCATAAATTTATGTCACTTCTGGTCATTCAAACTAGCTGTCATCATCTTGTATCTTATCGGTGATATTGATAACATCAATAAAAACATGATCAAAAGAGGACCTGTTGTTAAGAAAAGCTTGTATACTATACTTTTTATGCTATAAGTAAGTAATATTTGTTTCAAATCAGATTAATTTAACTTTAGTTGCTAATTTTACTCAAATAACATGTCACGAATATATATTTCATTTTTGGAAGAATTTTAAAATAAATAAATTTGTTTTGTTTACAAATTTCTTAAAATTAAGAAAATGGCCGCTATTAAGAAAATTTTCTTAAATCGGACAAAAAATTGAGATTCCAATCTATATAATTATTATTTAAAATACACCTGAATATTTTATTTACTGGAAATAATAAATTTAATCATTATGCTTTGAATTATAACTAAAATGAAATCTTCAAGAATACTTTTTCATTTTTTAAAATTAATTTTAAACTTTAGGTACCGAAAAGTCACTATTCTAATGTCTACTTCAACTCTGTACTCCTAATGTCTCCATCTGAACTCTGAAATTTTATTTGCTAACTAAATCTTGACCTCTTCAAGTCTAGAATTCACTGTCTATCTGTCCTGCTATCTTGCCCTTTCTTATGTGGAGTTAACTCCACTTACTTTCCTGAAACCACTACTAGGGGATGCTCTCTGGACTATAAATACTCTGCGATAATCTTTCTCACTCTCTTCTTACATTTCCTGCAAGATTTACATGTTAACGTGTAAGCAGAAAAAGTAAGAAGAGAGTGAGAAAAAATATCGCAGAGTATTTATAGTCTGGAGAGTGTCCCCTAGTAGCAGTTTCAGGAAAGTAAGTGGAGTTAACCCCACATTTATGCTAATACAGAGCCTTGTACTGGGCGAACAATAGTAAAAAAAAAAAAAAAAAAAACTACAAAGGACCGGAAATTGAAATAGATCCATGATTGCCAACGTTGGAAGGGACACGGCAACATAGAAGAAGAAAAAAAAAAGCATTTTTCGTATTTATAGAAGAATAAGAAAAATTTGATACTAGTTTTCAGGAACTAAAAACAATCACAGAAAAAAGAGCTAAAGTAACAACACTTCCACCATCGTCAATTAATTCCATTTAAAAATAAATAAAAAAACTAACACCAACACTTAATACTAGTAATTACTAATAAATTTTTATTATTTATTTATTTATTTATTTATTTAAAGTAAAAGGTTTTAAATATTTTACTAAAGAAAGCCCTTTTGTTGACGTGTAAAGAAATTAAGAAAACTTTCTGAAAATATTTGACAGCTACTGATTTCTTTTCGTTTTTATTTTAACCTTACGAATTTTTATTATACAGAAAACACAGCAGTGGATAACGTTGATAATTTTTTTACGCAAAAAAATAAAAATAAAAACAGTAAAATGTAAAAATTATCTTAAATAAAAAAAAGTCGACTTCCATAGGAAAAATGTCACTCAAAAAATCACAAAAATAAATTTAAAAAATCTTAATTTAATCGTGAAAGGAAATAAGGTTCATGCCTTCTTTTTGAAAACGTTTTTGATTTTGACATTTACTCAGTGAAAAAAAATGTAATTAGTTTGAATTTTTTAGTTTTACTTTTTTTGTAAAAGCCGATTTTTTTTAAAGTGACTTTTATGTTTTTAACTTTAAAAAGAAAGCTTAAAAAATAATGGAATGGATAAGAAAATTTAATTTTAATTTTTGAACAAATCATTCAACCACTAAAAGCTGTTGTAAATTTGAAAAAAATATTTTAATTTTTGTTTGTTTTTAAAATGATTATTGCAAAGAAAAAAGTTGTTTCTTCTCAGTTTTTTTAGTCGACCTCAAAATTGAAAGGGCGTTTCCACAATATGACCGAATGCAAGTATTGACTTTTTTCTTTTTACTTACATTTAATAAAAAATATATTAAAAAAATCATTAGTAACTCAAGTTAATTCTTTTAAAATATGCATGCGGTGTTCAAATCCTGTCCAGGTCTATCAAAAAGTTAAATGCAAAAAAGTTAAAAATGACATTTTGCATTTGGGCGATTTTTCTTTCGTTTGTTTTGCAGACACAAACACTGAATGAAAGATTGTTTTTTTCTTCGTCTTATGATAAGTTACATGTTATGTTTTCTTTATAAATTTGTTTTTTCAAAAGTTAAATACGAAAAAAATCTTTTTAACCAATTTCCACTTACGTTGGTTCCATTTCTGTGTTTTCTCGATCATGGGTTAGAGAAACGTCTGCTTCATTCATTTCATATCATAATTTAATTACAAGTAAATCTTGAAAACTGCCGTTGAAATTTGTTTTCAGATAAAACTGTTCAGAAATGTTTAAAATGCTTGAATATAATAACAGGCATAAATTTAACTAAAAAAATTATGTTCGTAAAATTTCGTCACATGATGCTTATTGCCCTTTGAGGCATCCATATGAAATATAGGACCGTTGTTTATAAAGTTTTTTTTGTTTCTGTTGTCATCGTTGTTAATTAAAACAACGAATCACAATGAAATTTAATCAAATACTTTTCTTTCTTATTCATTTTTATTACACAGCAGAAGACGATCCATCCATAATCAGTTGAAAATTATGATTTTTTTTTTGTTATAAAATAGTCATTTTTCTTTCTTTTTTTACAATTTTAGTAGAAAAACAAACTAAATTAGAATTTTATTTTCTATCAACTTTTCAACCTCTTTTTTGTTTTACTATCACCACACTAACTATATTATAATTCATACTTTGTACCATGTATTTCAGGACGTAGGCGATCATAGCTGTCCACAACTTCCTATTCTTTGTAGCTCTTGCAATGTTTCTTTTTTCACTATCCCTCCTTCTCCCTGTTCAGCCATCCATGCAAAAGTGTTAGGTAGGTTACTCGATTTTCCTCAGTTCCACATTTACAGGGAAACTTCTGCTATGATCAGAATTATCAAGTTGGTACAACTGGAAATGTGATTCCTGTGAGCTATAGTGGCAAAGCAGACAAGTGTGAACCAAGAAGAGTCTGGTTTCACATGATATTTCTGCATCAATCCTGGCTTTTACACAAGAAGAAACATCCATGGTACATTTCTTAATAGGAAGCTTAAAAATTTCACTCCAATGATCATTGTGAAGAAATTAAGTCACTTGACATCAAGTGACTTGACATTAAAATCTTCAGATGTTTGCAGAGAGAGATTCATTTCTATATTGTTAGTTAATTTGTCTTATATGTTACAGTCATGAAAAGAAGGGCAGTAATAAAGCAAAAAGAGATAACTAACAGAGTGCAATAAAGAAAATTAAAAGCACATGAAAGAATCATCTAGAGACTCAAGAGATGATTACCTTGATATTGGAAGATTTTCCCTGATGTAAGTACCAAAGCCATACTTGTGCATCCTAGAATCTTTTCAACAAAGTGGAAAAGAGAATTTATTGGTAGCGAGTAGTTTAAATTAGTTTTGCAAACCACTAAGATATTTGGAGAACATTTCAAGAGATAAGAGTTTACACTGCAGAAATTGGTATGAACATCACATATATTGGAGAAAGAAAGGTTGAGTGAGGTAGTTGATTTTTTGTTTACTAGTTTACTTTTACTTCTTTTAATTGTAAATGCCATGAAAATATTAATTTTTCAGGAGAAAATGTCCAAAATAATTATCACTGTCCATCATCTATGGCAATACAAACTGACCAGAAGGTGGCTACGACTAAATAATGTGGCCTCAGGGTTGTTCATGCAGGGACACCTCTCTATGCACAACATGGGATTGCAAATACCCTGATATTACATAACTGTTGACCGGAGCAGCCTTTCTAAGTGCTTCTTACTACCAGTTGCAATGCAGCAACTAGAAAACTACCAAAGCAGAACCTTTAAAATGAAAAGCCACAGCCACTGAACAGTCAGAACACCAAAACATTAAGACAATTAAATCATTAAGGCCATGAAAGAAATAACTGGTAAACCATATCCTAAACAGGAAACAAAGTATAAACCTCTACTATTGTTTAATAAACATGGAAGGAGTATGGGCCAAACAATATATGAAACTATCTACTCCTACTGACCAGTTCACAGCATTGAAGGCTTGGTGCTTTTATTGAGAAACAATCTCTAAGAAGGTTGCTGAACACGACTTTAGACCCCATCCAGGCCAAGAGGTAATTACTAAATTACTAATACTTCTCTGGAGGTTACCACAAGAGCTGAAATCTAAGGAACATTAACATAAAAGTACATCATTTAAATTTCAAGTACAATATTCAAGTTAAAATTAATGTTTTAACTTTGTTAAAGTCAAAGAAACAAATAAAGATAAAATTATTAATAATTTATAAGGACTTTATTAATTTATATTTTCATGAAAAAAAATAACTTTCACAAAAAGGCTTAAGGTATTCAAAAGTGAAGTTCGATTTTGGCAAATTTGATCTGATTTTTTTTTTTAGTCAATTTCACTTTGCAAGGAAGTAAAGCCACTAGGACATCATTACAGGCTGTGGAAGAATTAGAAAACAGAAACATTACTAAGGTGCAAGAGCAAAACAAGAGTAATCAGGAGAACAATAGAAAGTGATTGACATTGCATTTAAATTTTTGAAGATTAAAGTTGGCTGGAAAGCATGTGTTCCACATCTAACCATTTCAACTGCAAATTGATAAGATCTCAATGTCAGTTTAGTACTGCACTTAAATTCAAAAAGTCTAGGTACCAAAGTGAAGAGCTCACCTGAACAATTAGTATGAAACTATTTATAGAAAAGACACAGGGAAGCAACTTTATGATGGTAGGAATGTGACTGAAGCTGAGATGCTAGATCGGGACCAATAATATTGCTGATTCTTCTTTGGATCTTATCACGGATGTCTAGATATATGGCAAGAACACCAGACCATATATTGCAGCAATATTCTAAGCATGGACAAATGGTAAAATTATAGATATGTAAGATAGATTCAGGAAAGAAAAACTGTCTAACAAAGCATAGTGAACCAACTTTCTTAGAAGCTGATCTAACAATGGATTCAATATACTCTTTCTACTTTATATCAGCTGAGAACATTTCCCCAAAAAGGCACAATGAGTCACTCTCCTGGAAGTTAGTATCAGTCATGCTGATGGAAAGCGGAAAGGGTTCTCTCAGATAATTAATAGAGAGCAGTTTTGTTTTGGAGGCATTAAAATTAACAAGCCATTCTTTGCCTCAGTTGACAACAGACTAAAGGTTGTTTTTGACATCAGCTGCCAATTTGACCTTATTGGACCAATCTGACTTAATATCAAGACAGGAGTTGTGTCATCAGCATAGTTGAGAGCTAATGTCATCACAAAGGTCATTAGTAGAAATTAAAAACAAAGATAGAGCCAAGGAGGTCACCTGCATTAGTGTAAAAGGATCTAGAAGAGTGGCCATTCAGGATAACTTTCATTTCACAATTTGATAAGAAAGACTGGCACAGTTCAAAAATTTCTCCAGAGACACCAAAAATTTTTAATTTGTGAAGGAAATCTGCATGCTAAACCCTGTCAAAAGCTTTTGAGATGTCCAAAGCAACAGCCCAAGCCTCACCATTCTTATCTAGACTCTTTCCACAGTCAGAACATCAGCAGTTGACCTACAGAAATGAAAATCATATTACTTGTCTAAAAAAAAGGCCCTGTGATATGAGATGCTTGACCAATTCAGCTAGTTTTTTTCCAAAAAGAGGTAGAAGGGTAATAGCCCAATAATTGAAAGTTTTGACTGGTTCACCCAAGTTCTTAAAAACTGAAACAACAGATGAGGATTTCCAACATGTAGAAAAGTAAGAGGCAGCGAGGCATTTATTATACAGTTTAGAGAGAACAAGAGCTAGTTTGGAAGCACACTTCTTAAGAACTATTACAAGGATACTATCAGGTCACATGCTTTGCATGGATCCAGATTAGAGCAGAGACTCACCTCTAAGTGGAAAGTTAGGCAAGGATACTCCAGATGTGTCAAATGTAAAATTAAAGGAGAATTTACAGGGTGAAAAATTAACACTTCAAATTGCTTGAAGAAAGGAGGAATAGAAAACTCACTCTTATTTAAAATACTATTACAGAGCTGCCAGTAATCACGAGAGCCAAGGATGTTAGATGCAATATGCCTCATTACAATATTAACCTATGGTATATTTATCTATTCATAGATTTATTTTTAATGGATGCTCGAGTAGACAAATCTGATATACTAATTATAATTTATTAACAATATTAAGAATAAAGCAATCAATAAATATCAAAATAAAATAAAATATGTAAACCCAATTTTATTATCATTGTTAAAAATGTTTGAATGTTATTTACTAAAAACTAATTGATTATACAAAACAAAAAATAAATATTAGGAATGGAAACACTTCCCCTGTATATTTGAAAATACCTTATGTATATTTGAAATACCCTTAAAATGTTATGTTGATACTTAAATAAACTAAGGCAGTCATCCATGCCAAATATAGAATAGCAATTTCAATGTATAAATAAAGTAAATATATTATAATAATGTATCAATATAGTGTATTAATATTTGTAATAAATTAATGTAATTTTATGAATAAAAATAGTATTTTGAAGTCCACACATTATTTATTTATTATTATTATTAACATTAATTGTTTAGTGGCATATAAATTTGAGAAATAAAATAAAGTTAAAAAGAAGAAATAAGATAAAATAAGCAGTTATAGAAACCAGATATGTTTTTTAAGGTTTATGTAAGGTCTCAAATTCTGCCATGCTTTATCTTTACAAGAGTCAGATGTGACCAAAAATGGAATATTGTCACCATATCTAAACTGGAGCTACGCAATCCTCACTTTTCAGCCTTGATAAAATTCAAAATTGTTTACACATTCTTATTAGGGAAGGATTATTCTCCACTCTGCAGCTTCTTTCCCACAGACACAATATTGCAAGCCTATTGCTATTTCTATGATTCTATGACAAATATTCAAATGAGTTCTACCAGTTCAGACCTTTACATCATATTCTACTTCCAGATTGGGTGAAACACTTGCATTTCCTCAATGTTCCAGAAGTAAGAAGAAACTTCCGTTCAGACAGCTTTTTTCCCAAGAACTGACAATTTGTAGAACAGACATTTGCATTGGTGCTTTCCTGAGCGCTACAATCTTAACCTGTTTAAGTTAAAGGTCAATTGTTATCTATCCTCCTTATTCTCAGAATTTTCACTTCCTAATAATTCCTTTTTCATTCATATCACAT